GGGACGCTATATTTCCCTACGGCTCGCCGCACTTCCACATTCCCTTCGACCCTCCTAGCCAGCGAATGCGGGTCTACTCTTCCAACACTCGCAATTTTGGGTTCGACCACAGATTGATGTCTCCTTCAATTTTACACGGTAACGGTTTGCTTGTTTCGTAGCCTATATGTGTACTCTCAAATTTAGGTATCTCGGAAATCCAAGTTAGCATAATTGTTCGGTTTACACTGTTATTCTGTGTGCTTTCTCCCACTTACAAAACACAACAGCATTATAATGTAGTCCAGGAGAATCACTATTATTGAACAACTTGTGTTTGATGATAGCAGACTGATGATGATGGTACATAATATCAACTACAAAGTTATAAGTGCGGTGGTCAGCAGTAAACCTACTGAATGGGTGAAAATATGCACGCGTGAGCACCGATCGACGACATCTCTGCGAAAACTTCTTTGAGGCTTTCACAGAAACAAACACATATGGTTTTAACAACCAACATAGTGCTTTCTATTAGTGACAAAATTTTCCCCCTAAATTTGTTGGTGAACCGTGACAGTTTCACACTTGTTAACGATGCAATGACTGGTATGTTACTATTACGGTAGAAGAGTAGAGAGAAAAGGAACGACGAACTGAAAGGGATGAAACACGATATGATGGAGGGTAACAGGAAAATGATCAACAGTTGTTCAATTCTGCGAGGAGCAAAACGAAGCGGTCGTAGCAACAGAACTCGAACTGGCCTTAGGCAAATCCAAAGTGCTCACGTAAACCTGACACATGATACTTATTCAATTTCCAATTCCTTCTCAAACATGACTAACCTCATGTGCCATTGTGACGGCCTTCTGGTAGAGCGGCCGATTGTCACCGAGTAAAGCCAGAGCTTCAGGAATCGAGCACCACAGTCTGTCGCGGAATCGCTCCTGATGAAAATACCGTCTTTACTTCTGATACGGGGTGATCCGGCCGATGTAATTCGTCAAGTATTTTCACGTCACTTCATATTGCGAATATCACGCTTTCACATGGAGTATTACGCCACTTCACGTAAAACGGATGAAACTCCATTATAGTGTATATCGCATATCTTCCCATTGTAGTGGTGAAACTCACTTCACGCCAGTTGTCCAGGACCTCATCGCATCGACCGTAAAACACACGAGTTGCCTTGGGGCTTCCGCTTTTATCATGCGATTTGACCCAACCTAGGTCACCCAAGACGGCACATACCACACCAGCCTGAACTCATGCAACATTCAATGATGACTCATCATGGCGACACTTACTTCTTCGAGAGTCTCCCGGACAGCTGCGGCTTCAAACGACTGATCGAAACCTTCTACCTTTCCACTAGGGATGGTATGCGTCATCGCTCCATGACGACGAGAATTTACAAGTAGGACAGAATCCCCTAAAATGAATGACAGAAGTTTCACCTCATCTTATTAGAACTTTCTAAGGTCAACCGTGAATAACATCAACATCATGAAAAATCATCTAGACAAAAAGTTATATTGGAAAACAGAAATTTCCAAGAATTTGGTTTTCACTGTTGAATGTATAGCAGAAACTCACCCGCTTCACTCCCTGGAGAAAAATAAAACTTTTTCAATTCTGAGAGTTACACTATACATCACCAACATGATTACAACGTGAATCGACATTGGAAATATATATTAAAAACTATAATTTCTAAGAATTTGGTTTCCAGTGTTGCATCTTTAGGAGAGTAACTCACCGGCCTCGTTGAAAACCACACATCCTGCGCGTTTGCGATACCTGAGATATTAACATTCAAGATGAGCAAATTAGCAATCTGATTTAGTAACTACATAGCAAGTCCACATAGCCATAAGATCGACAATTAGAGTAATTCACGCAGTTTTGGTATCAAATGCCGGTTCATTAGTTACAGAATTAGTGTTGGAGGAATATATGTGTGG